GAAACCTGTCTCAGAAATAAATAAATAATGAATGAATGAATGACTTAAAGTCAAGACAGTCCAAAGCAAACCTGGACACTTGGTGTCTTCAGAGCCCTGCCTGGACAGAGTCCCATCAAGCTTCACCTGAAGATGCCTGCAGGACCTTCCTAATAGATTTCAAACAAAGGCACTCATGGGTAGATGCTGTTCACTATTTGCACTACCCATCAATCACAGATAAACTATCAGATTTCTTCGAGGCTCATAAGGGAACGCCCATGTGTTGGATGTTTGCTGTGGTTCCTCTCCCCTCCCACTGGATACCACAAAGCAGTTTGCACATCTGACAGCTGGTAGCAGAAAGACCCACAGTCACTTCAGAAAGCTCAAAACTTACAAAAAAAATGTTTGCAAAAAGACAGTTGCCTCTTATTCTCAGAAACATCATTCATTTTTGCTCCCTGCTGAACTTCCTAGCTTTCTTTGAGATCTGGTTTTGTAGACCTCTGTCTAAAACCTTGTTTAAATTAGCGGAATCTGCTTTCAACACCCATGATTACTTACTTTCGTGCTCAGTGATTAGCTTCTCTCCTCACTTCTTGTCTCATCAGAAAATGGAAATACACCTGGCAGAGAGGATTATCAATCTTCCTGACTTCTCTTGTCTGTCTTTTTTGAAGTCAGTAAGCCTTTAGACAACTTTGAATTAAAATGCATTATGCTTTCAGAACAAGACAATGCCACTCTTTGCCAGCTGAGCTGCTTAATAGGGGCCTTTTTATGACATCCCCATTGCTAATTTACACATTCAAAGACATAAATGGGCACAGTCCACAGGGACACATGCAGAGGATGCAAGTTATTCAGCCCCTGCCTCCCCCACATGTTGGAGTGGAGCTGGCCCTTCCTCACTCTACTAGGAAACGAATTGTTTGCTGGTATATGCTTAGGCAGCTTTGCTTCAAGATTGTCAAGGGCTTTTATATGCATGCCTTGTTCCCTCAGTAACTTTATAATTGTTTTTTTGAATATTAGCCATTGTTGTGTTGGAAGTGGATGTTTATTATCCTATTCCTAGGCATGGAAGTTTGTGGTTGGGATCCCTAATCATATCTATGCTAATGATGCCCTGGTTACAAGAGTCTTGTTTATTGCACAGATGAGTTCTACTTGATCTTGTGAAATCACTTTCGGGCTTAAATTTTGTTCAGAGTTTGGCATGAGGTATATGTTAAATAAGTATCCATTAGGGATAGATTAGCCTGTCATAGCCAGCTGTTTGCACAATGCATTTGCCACCATGGTAAATTCATAGTGTGTACATTGACTCTTAAGTAAATTTCGAAAGTTATTGATAACTTCACAAAAGTTAGAGGAGAGGGGAAGAACCAAAATTCTTAATTCCAGATACAGTTTTCTAATAAAGATGCCATGCCACTGGTGAGTAAATAACTTGGTGTCTGTTCAGTTCATTCATCCCCAAGTAGTTACATGAACCAGCTGGTGCAGCTGCACCCTGAATTCTGTGGTTCATCAATGGTGGTGGGCAGGCGAGTGAACTCACAATGGTAGAAAAACAAAGTCAGTATTTCTGTATGTGAGGTGATTTTGAGTGTGAAATTTTTATATTGTACATCTTTTAAGAAAATCATTGTTGCTTCCAGGTTGCTCAGTGTTAGTTCCCCCTCCTGATACCAAATTACTAAACAGCTTATATGTCCAATACATGCACTGTCTAATTGTTTCCTCATCAGTATTTAATAACCAAACAGATAATGGCCTATCAAGCTGCATGGAGTTGAAACATCACCAACAAGAAAAAAATTAACAGAAAAAAAATAACATTGTATTTTTCTTCAGCTGTGTACCACATCCATACACAGATGCACAATTCTGAGTATTTCCAAATGTTAAAATCTCCATTACTGGCTCAACAACTTTCATTGGTCTATTCCAGTTTTCACATTCATTTATTCTAATCCGATGCTTTCTTCTGTTGAGCTATGGCTCCTCAGCCTCTTTCCTTTATGTCTATTTTTGAGTGCTTCACGGATAGATCATGGCCCTAGAAGGTAGGAATGGAATTGGAGGAGGAAACAAATTTATAACCTTCATAATGGCTTGAGGTGTTTTCCTACTTAACCCAAGAAGCTGCCTAACAGGTGTGAAGTGTTGGTGATATTTGATGGCCCTTTTTTAAAGCTGTGTTGTAATGGGTGTTAACTGGAGTAGACAGGTATGGGATGAGGGGATAAACAGGAGCAAAGTAAATGTTACTGAACTAGGCTCCGGTACTCTAGTTTAGAACTGCCCAAGGGGCTGAAGAGACCTTCCAGAGCCTTTGCTCTCCCCAACATCCTCCCTTCAGACCCTCAACATACCAATCAAATCTTCAATCTTCTTACTGAATGAAATAAAGTAGTAAGTTGTGCTAATTTGAAACCAGCAGGATGGGGGATCCTTGACAGAGGTAGAAGACTTAACATAACACTGTTGATAAAAACTCAGCCTCAGCTTCCCCGGGGAAAGGAAACGCTGTAGAATATGTGTGATAAAATGATATTAGGCCTGTGGGCAATGGTTAAAGAAGGGAGAATTCACAGATCTCATCTCTGTCACTTCTTTCCTTAACCTTGACCTTCTTTTAGAGTCTCTTCCCCCCCCCAAAAAAAACCAAAATGTTGATGAGCCTCCAGTAATAATTGTCCTTACTTAAGGGAAGAGTGTAGCATTTTAATATGTGCATATAATGAGTATGAATCAAATCAGGGTAATTTAGATTCTCCTGTTTGGAGACCCTGACCCCTCCACCCTTCTAAAACACGTTATAGGTTAATATAAAGTGCAGTGCCTGACTGTGGACTAGAATACTAGAATTAAGTTCTCCTGTTAGCTCTTTCACCTCCCATTCTCCACCTTCCCTGCCCTCATCCTTCACATGTGTTCTCACTTGGTATTTCTCTTATATTTGATATTTCTCCTTCTCCTTTTAATAACTTTATCTAATATTATATAACTGAAGCAAAATCATAGAAATTACCAGTTTTGTTGAGGTTACTAATAACTTCATTTGCTTGTATTCTTTCCCCAGTATACTTGAGATATTTTACAATGAACTTACTTTTTAATAAAGAAAAACATTTTAAGAAAATGTCATAAATAGTAAATGTTGTAAAGCCAGAAATATTAGAAATTCTTACATGCATCCTTGCCATAGAAAAGTAAATTTATTTTTATATATTTGGTATAGCCTGTCTAGATCAGCACCTGAGAACAAAATAATGTGTAGGTTTTCTCACCTGAGATAAATAATACTACTCAATGAGTCATGACACAATCCATCATACTATCCTCAAACAAGGAAATTGTGGAAAAGTATTTTAATTTGCTTGCTAAATATTACACAATTATCAAACAGCATGAATGAAACTGTTACTGAGTTCTAGTATAGTTTTTCTTTTTATATGCTCTGATTTTCAAAGTTCCCATGAAACCTGTGAAGGAGTATCAGACCACTTCCTCCATCAAGTATTTTATAATGAAGCTGGATTACAAGGACACATAATGACTGATGAGTTATCAGTTCATTAGTGATACAGCTTTAAAGCACTCTGCCTTGTGCAGTGCCTGTCACACAGAGACACCAAGGGATGGAGGGGAATAGAGGGGTCAAGGGATGGAGGGTGGACACATTGATGAGCAAAAGGGCGCATGGGTTCACAGTTTATAGGACTGCAAAGAAGAACTGCTGGACAGTGTTGGTTGGATTTCATAAATCTATTGACTTCTTATTGATCTGAGAATACTTTAGGAAGAAGGTGGTCCAGCTAGGTGTTTGGGAGCTCAGAGTAGACAGGTTTAATTCTGTACAAAGAAAGAACAAGGAAAGTTAGAATAAGAGCTTTATATGGGAAAAGATGGTAAGGCTGAGGGTCCAAGCTTTCACTAGACACTGGAACAGAGGGCCTTCCCTGGAACAAAGGATCAGTAAGAAGGTTACTTTCAAGTTTTCACTGCATGGTATCCTAAAGAACTATGAATTTTAAGCAGCCCATAGGCATGGGCAGCTATGGGATTTTTTTGCATGAAATAGTTAATGCGATAATACAAAAATGTTTTAGGCAAATCAGTTGTAAGTTTAACTTTGTATTGGTTATACAGATATAAGTGTGGCTTGATACAAAATGGAGATTTTAAGTTTTTAACAGGGATCTCAAAGTATTTTTAGAAGGAAGTGAACATGTAGATTTTGCTGCACCATCAATAAAATACTTCTGTATTTAACTGACAGTGCAGAGACAGTTACATCAAATTCAGGTCTTGATCAGCTCATATTCTAATTGAAAACTAATGGATTTGAAGATAAGAAACTGGTATAAAAGTCTAGAAGCCTCCAAATATTTTATGCACATAGTGTAATGAATTTTATGTGATAAAAGAAGATAATAATTTATGCCTTGGGGGTATTTAACCTAATTGCTAGATATGTCAGAAAATTGATATATCTTGCATGTGAGTTCTACTTACACTGAGAAATTATGTACGTTATCATTTTTCTTTAAAGCTATTAGTAATTTTATCTCATAAAATCAATGATGTCATCATTTTAATACAAATGGTTATCAGTAGGGTCTTAGATCAAAATAGTATGGGTTGGAATCCAGTTTGGACAAGTGTCTCTCCATGCCTTGGTTTCTTCATCCATGAGTGATGACAGTTATCACATGAACACCTTCAGATTGTTGAGAGGAATAAATATAAAATATAGACTAGTGTCTAACATGTGGGAACAAGTCATAAATGACTGTTGTATTGCTAGCAGTGTTGCAGAATCAATGAATGATCCACACCAATATTTTCATATTCTGATCATTTGGTTTGCTTTTCAAGTCTTACTGGAAAGATAGTCAGTATTCCTGAGGTTATGGCTGGGGTCTCTGTTGAAAGGCACAAGGAGTCAGTGTAGGTAGCAGTTGATGTAGCCACAGTAAAGTTGACCTGCATCTTACCTTCCACAGTGAGCCATCTCTATGGATTTGGACTGATGGATGCAGAAGCCATGGTGATGGAGGCAGAGAAGTGGACAACCGTTCCTCAGCAGCACGTGTGTGTGGAAAGCACAGACCGACAAATCAAGTAATGCTTGCTGCCTGCCAGCAACCTGACAATGCCCAAAACGAGGCCGGCATAACCGCTATCGAATATGGAAACTAGACACATCTGTAGTTTCTTTCTAGTGTAGTTATAAAGTTGAGATAGAATGTTATCCTTCCAAGGAAAGCGCTGTACTAGTAGGCTAGCCTACATTTCCTGCTTGTCAGTGTCCTTGTTTGATGAAGCAAGAATCCTTGAGATCTTCACGTTCTTCAAACTTACATTTGTAGTTCTCTAAAGAGTGTTGTAAAACAGATAACAAGTGCTATTGCACATCCCTCAGAGTCATGAGGCCTGTGTGAGCTGCACACACACAGATATTGTGTTTGCAGTATGTACCCAGCAGTGTGTGAAGTCACTGCCAGGTGTTTGATCCAAAGAGCAGCATTCATCTCCGGGGCTTTTCTGGGTGGGTTCTTGGCTTTCTCCTCAGAAACCTCTCTGCCTGGAAAACTTTTTGAACAATATTTCTGGTTGATGATGAACATACAGCCTTATAACTCTGTGCAAATGTGTATTAGTAAGCACTGAAGATGGGGCAAAGTTGTGGTTTGGTTTGGTGTGATGTGGTTTAAAATTTTTCCCCAGTCACCTTTCATGGCATAGAGTGAGAAAGCAAAAAATAAAGGGGAAGGGAAAGTATGCATTTATCCAGCACAAATTACAGACAAAAGACCTTTGGCTTCCCATCACTTGCCTTGTTCCCTTTAAATGACCCAGTTATTTGGGTAACTAGCACTGTTGTCCCTTAATATCCAGTGAACAGCTGCTGCCTGTGTTGTACTCTCATTTCAAGCCTCTAGACCCACTCACCTGATTTCTGCCATGTATTTTGCTCACACCCTTCCTCTCTCTCCTGCCAGGACCATACGCCCCAACAGTGCAGTGCGCTCCATCTACAAAGCCTCAGGCTGCTCGGATAATCCCAACCACCATGTCAATTACCTGGAACATGTAGTCGTGCGAATTACCATCACACACCCTCGGAGGGGAGACCTGGCCATCTATTTGACCTCACCCTCAGGAACCAGATCCCAGCTTTTGGCCAACAGGTACATTGAAGGCCTGTGCCTACCAGGGTCGGGGCCACAGCTATTCTTGCTGTTCTTTAAGGTAGACAGAGATAACTGTGCCTTATTCCTATCCCAGGGACCAATTGAGTAGCCCCTTGGATACCATCTCTCTTAGCACCTAAGTAAGATTGGAAGCTGCCTGGCATCCATAGACAGGGAAGAGTGCCATTCTATAGCTGGGTACTAAAAGGGTGCTGCAGAAAAGTAGAAGGCCGTTTTTCTTTATTCTGAAGAGGGATTGCAGAGCACTGAGACACATCCCTAGTAAATTCACAAATGAACTTCATTCACTTAAGAAAGTGAAGGGGAAAGTGACAGTAGGAGCTTTTATAGATGAGAGCAAGTAAGTGGGAATATAGACTCTGAGATCTTGGGGGTGGGTGCTTAATACTTTAGCAATGAAATGAAGCGTTGCCAGAATCTGTATGCAGGTGGAAAGAATGTAAGGATTCCACTGCATCAGACCCAGAGGCACCCTCTCCATTCCCTCCCCCTGCTGTAGACGAAGGGCCTCAGCTGCGGCATAGAAGCTAATTGCCCTACCTGCTTCATCCCAACAAACACTGCATGATTAATAGAGGCAGCAACAGCTGTTGTTACCAAAGCCAGGGCAGGCCTTTCTTGCTTGCTTTTTTTTTCTTTCTCTTTTTTCTTTGTCATTATTCATCTGAGTTTAACTTGAAAGAGTTTCCTAATGAAACACTATGAAGCTCAGAGACAAGCTTCACCTATGCATGCCTCTTGTGGCCTGAGTTCCTCCCTGCCTTGCAGAAAGCCAGCCTCTGCTATTGATGCTGGCTGGAAAAACTCAGTCCCCCTTCCTGGTCCTATTGCAATTTGCCATCTATTATTGCCATCTCACAAAATGACTTCCCCGAGAAAACCCACCAGCTGATGGGCTATGGATGCCATCACAGGCGTCTGCTGACCTACAGGGTCACTGGCTTCAGTGCATACATATATACCTCCACAGTCGGCGTCTGCTTTGATGTCTGCAAAGGGCTGGGTGCAAGAATACTCCAGAACTTGCATCCTTGAGCTGCACTCAGAAGGTTCACCTCAGCCTCCCCCATTCAGGTTTGCAGCAGTGTCCTGACCCAAGGCATCTAAAGCAGTTTCTCTCTGCGGGTCCTGAAGACATGCGCCATCAGAAAGCTGTAGCAAGGCTGGAGGGCTGCGGGCACTGAAGAATGAAAAGATGTGATGAGCTGCAGTCATCTGCAGCTACCCTGAATCTGTTCTGAGAAGCTGGCACTTTGCATGTGAAATAGCTGCAACCTGCCCCAAAGCCAGTGGCACCCCTGCCATTCTTGCTCTTAACACTGGGAGTATCCCCCCTGCCTAGGCAGCTAAAGAAAGACAGTTCCTTCTGCCATGCTTTTCATCTGACACAGTTAGAGGGCTCCGTTTTGTTACAGGAAATTCCTCTGCAGTATCTCTTAGTTTCTGACCGGGAAACCTTGAGACCTGTCAGCTGACCCCCAGTTCAGAGCACAGTCCCAGTTTAAGAACTGAAGAACAGGGTGTAGGGCAGGGAAACAGACACCATGCCGCAAAAAAAGGGTAGAGAGGGGTGGAGAAGAGTCCTGCTGCTCCCCTGGTGTCCTTTTGATTGGTCTCCAAGACAGTTCTTTGCCTCAAGGTGCATATGTCAGGATTTGGAAAGAGTCTGTGTGCCCAAGATTATTCGTAAGAGCAGTAAAAGAGTGGCCATACCAGACATTAAGCCTGTGTTTTTAAGAGTGAAGATTCTTAGCTGAGTGTGGTGGTACCCGCTTATAACACCAACTCCATTGAGGCTGAGACCAGAGAATTGTGAGTTCAAAGCCAGCCTGGGCTACATAGCAAGAACTTGTCTCAAAGATGATTAGATAGATAGATAGATAGATAGATAGATAGATAGATAGATAGATAGATAGATATGAAATAGACCATCTTATGTGAAGATTACAGTTAAAAAGTAGGAGTTAAAATTTTAAAGCAAAGTTTCTCTAGCAAGACCCCTACAGATCACACATAATCCTCTGGTAGCAGAGTTTTCCCACCTCATCTGTCCACCCTGCCTGCTTCCTTCCTAACCTGGCTGCCACTGTGGAAAACTCTCCTTGGTCTTTTTGGTCTTTGTTTTTGTTTATTTTGTTTTGTTTGAGACAGGCTCTCTTTTGTTTGTTTGTTTGTTTGTTTGTGTGTTTGTGTGTTTCGAGACAGGGTTTCTCTGTATTGTTTTGGAGGAAAGTGCTCTGTAAACCAGACTAGCCTCAAACTCACAGAGATCCGCCTGCCTCTGCCTCCAGAGTGCTGGAATTAAAGGCTGTATAGCCCTGGCTAGCCACAGAGTTGTTACCATGCAAGCCTTGAACTCACATATCCACCTGCCAATGCCTCAGGAGTTTTTCCCCCCAAGGCTTTTGAAGTAGTCTCTCCACCCAGGTTTTACTCACAGACCAGCACAGAAATGAAAGGAAAGTGCTAGAAGCAGCTTGGACCCATGGGGCTCTTTCCAGGTCATTGTCCTATGATACTTCCCCCAGGATTTCATTGTCCTTGACATTTCACTGAGGAATTTCTTCACAGTTGCCTAGCCAGTGACCACTGTGGTTTCTGGAGCATCTGGTTCCTGCAAAGTGCTCACTGTGCATGGCACTTACATCTGTGTGGGCTGTCTGGAGCCCCTCCGTGGCTTCCTGTCCCCACTGATGGGCAGCTCCTGTGGTGAACAGCTGTTGGGAGAATGGTTTACCCAAGCAGCTGCAGGTGCTAAATGCTGGAAGGCGTTCAGCAGCATTCAGAACTCTAGGCTAGTTTGAGCTTTGCGCCCCATTAGCCCAGCAAGCAGGCTTCCCTGGCAAGCCACCACTGGTGATTTAGTGGGTTGGAGCTACGGGTCACCAGAACTGTCAAGGGGTGGACAGATGACCGTTTCTTAACCTCTTCTGCCATCCCTGCCTCTTGGCCAATATCTCCTGCTTACCCAAAAGCCAAACAGTGACTTCAGAGTGAGTGGCTTACTCCACTGGAGGAGGTCAGACTGGAGGTTCAGGGGAAAGCTGGGGGGTCTTGAGTCCTTTGAAAGCTCTTAGATGAGAGCACTTCCAAATACTGTGTACAAATACTGTGTACAAAGTTTCCAAACAAAACCTTGTCTCACCAAATTCTTCCATCAGCTCTACTTGCTAGAAATATGAACAGCTCCTCTCCAAGCCTCCCCCTCCCATCCAACTGCATTTCAGGCTTAGCTTAATTTGTTGGCTCTCTATTCTAGTTTTTGGCCTCAAAATGAAAGCTGAAACTTTGCCTCCCTTCCTAAATTTGATTATAGAAATGTATCTCTGCTTCTAATTATAGTCTCAAGTAGAGAGAAGGTACATGTTGTAGACTGCAAAACCCAATAATTGTGTATAAAATGTAGTAATTGTATGTTAGTCATTTTTGTCACTGTCCTCTCTAAATGTTCAATGAAAAACTATTGACACTGGTAGACATCATGGAGTATAAATGTGTTTGTGACTTGCAGTAAAAGCACTGCTGCTGCAGTGCTCCTGCTGCCTTCATTCAGAGCAAGCCTTTAAGTTTATACAGAACTGGCTTTCCCTTAATCTCTCTGATGTCTGTGTTTGAATCTAGAGAAGGAAGTTTCTTTGTGAGATAAATATATATATTTAGCAAGTGGTATCCTTCTTACACAGTACTTCTCAATACACCCAGCCAGTGACCTTATCAACTACAGATGCCTGAGCCCTGCTCGTGGGTTCCAATTCTGTGGTTCTGGGGTGAGGTCTAAGAAGCCCCATTCATAATGAGCTAGATGAGATGAGATCCACCTACCCATAAATCAACCCTCATATCCAATTTAAAAGATCACCCAGATTGTCTTGTTTTTGTGTCACAAAATATCGTATATGTGATATTGTTCCCGACGCTATGCAAGTAGTTTACAAACGCATTTATAATGCAAAACAGACTCCTGCATAAAAACCATATACTCTATAATGAAGTCAGTCTTCTACAAGATGAGGCACTCTGTATACACACAAAAGGGGATGCGTTTGGGGGTTAATGAATGACTTGAAAATATGCTTGTTGAAACTTGACATTTAAGGGGGAATATTCCGTTTAGCTATTCTAAACCTCTTTAGCACCAATATCAAAACAGTTCTTTTTAAAAGAATTTTAAGTATTTTTAAAAGAATTTTATTTAAGTGTGTGTGTGTGTGTGTGTGTGTGTGTGTGTGTGTGTGTGTGAATCAGAACCTTCATGTGAATCAGAACCTTCATTCAGCGACTGATGGAAGCAGAGGCAGACACCCACAGCTAAACACTGAACTGAACTCCTGGAATCCAGTGACAGAAAGGGAGAACAGAAACAGTTGACCTGAACAAGGTGGAGCTCTTGGACCCCAGATTGATTGTGGAAAGCATGGGACTTACCCAGACCCCCTGAGTGTGGGTGTCAGAGAGGAGGCCTAGGCAATCTATGGGACCTTGGTTAGTATTTATCCCTGGCATACAAATAGACTTTGTGTGCCCATCCCACAATGAGAGATGCTCTCTCAGCCTAGACACTTGTGGGAGGGCCTGGATGAAATGACAGACTCTGAGGATCTACCATGGAGGACCTCACCCTCCCTGGGGACCAGAGTGGAGGTTGGATGGGGGTATAGGAGGTTGGGTGGGGAGGCCGGGGAAAGGGAAGGGAGAGGGAGCTGGGATTGACATGTGAAACAAGATAAAAGTAAAAGTAAACAAAAAAGAAAGAATTTTAACTATTTTAAGTGTGTGTGTGTGTGTGTGTGTGTGTGAGAGAGAGAGAGAGAGAGAGAGAGAGAGAGAGAGAGAGAGAGAGAGAGAGAGACATGTGCTGGACTAATGAGTGATTGTAAGCCACCCAACATGGGTGCTGGCACCTAACTCAGGTCCTCTGGGAAAGCAGTAAGTGCTTTTAACTGCTGAGTCAGTCTTAAGCCCCCAAAACATTTCTT